GTTGAGCCTAAATAACATTCTTTTATAATATAAATGGAGCATCACATTTGGCTTTGCTTGCTTGATCCGCATATATTTATAATTAATTATTAATAATATTACCAAGAACAATTATGGTTTTTAATTTTGCATAACTTCAATTATAATGTTATTTGATTTTTAAATAAGTATATTGCTTTCAAACCATTTACAACGACCCACTATTAATATTTACATATTTTCATAGATATTACGCCACCATGAAATTTAGAATTGATATTACATTTTTCGTATTAAACAAAACAAAACGTTTGACTTGATAAACATATTAACTTATTTCATGCGGGCCCAACAAACAAAGCATTTTATTTTCTGTCGATTGCACCACCCCTAGACACTTCAAGGCACTGTAGTTATATGATGACTCATTCACATCACTATCTTTCAATCTGCACCCGTGCTTCTTTTTCTTTAAAAGCTTACCCATCTTCTCTTTTCTTATGCATGTGAACCTATTTGGCTATTTCCCTTTCTCATACCCATGCTCTAATCCGATTTATACACATTTACACTTCGATTTGTCTTCCTTCTCTCGTAAACATGCCAGTTCTTGAGTTTGAATCCAATATTTCTAGTGTCTCATCAAGCAGTCCAAGAGTACCTCAAGTTAACACAAGAATGGATAACTCCACCGTTCATGCTGAACCACCGGTGTCAACTACAAACATGGACCCAACCTTGGAATCTGGAGTCGCAAATCAAACTCAATCACCACCTTCACAACTACCTTTTTTTACGCGAATCTTTACGTCCAATTACTCTCAAGGTACAGCATATTTCATTTCATATATTTTGCGAGCTAAACATTTAATTATAAGGAATCACTATTTTAAGTTATCACGTTGACTTTCGCTAACCATTAAGCATTTGTTTTACAAATTCTTAGTTTGAAGATTTGGTTTACACTATTAAGTTGCAATCTGGAGACGACCATTGTTTTAGTTCATCTGAATCAAAAAGAACCCGGATTCTTCTGAATGGAGTCAGTGGCGTAGTCAGACCAGGGGAATTACTAGCGATGTTAGGCCCATCCGGCAGTGGAAAAACCACCTTACTAACCGCCCTTGGAGGTAGACTACCTGGAAAGACGTCAGGCAGCATAACTTACAACGGCCAATCCTTCTCAAGCTCTGTGAAAAGAAAAATTGGTTTCGTGACACAAGATGACGTGTTATACCCACACTTAACTGTTTTAGAAACTTTAACCTACGCTGCCATGTTGAGGTTGCCCAAGAGTTTGACCATAGAAGAGAAAGTAGAGCAAGCTGAGCTAATCATAATCGAACTTGGTCTAACAAGGTGTCGCAATAGCATCGTGGGAGGGCCACTTATACGAGGTGTTTCTGGTGGGGAGAGAAAACGGGTTAGTATTGGACAAGAGATGCTGGTGAACCCGAGTCTCCTGCTTCTTGATGAGCCCACTTCAGGGCTCGACTCCACCACAGCTTTAAGGATCATGGCTACATTGAAAGGACTAGCTCGAGGAGGAAGGAGTGTGGTAACAACGATTCATCAGCCATCAAGTAGATTGTATTGGATGTTTGATAAGGTTGTTGTGTTATCTGAAGGGTGCCCGATTTACAGTGGGCAAACTTGCGGGGTTATGGAGTACCTTGCTTCCATTGGATATGTGCCCGGGTTTAGTTTGATGAACCCGGCTGATTTTCTGCTTGATCTTGCCAATGGTATGTGTGCATTTCGTTCTTGATGCTTTTTTTTTGTTTGAAGAAAAGAATTTTATATAGATGCAACTAGAAATGCAAACCGTAAATTTTGATATGTTAACCACAATATGTTCAAACTCAAATCTTATGGTTGCATTTATTATATTATGGGTTAGTTTGTATAATTTTCCAAATGTTTTCTTTGATATTTATATATATTATCCTCATTGAGGTTCTTTTAGAAGCTAGTTCTTTTAATTATAATTTAAAATAAATAATTTATGGAGTAAAAATATTGAAATACAACTCACAAAAGTTCAAATATGATTTTTTTTTTTTTTTTTAAAAAGCATTAGTTTCCGGAGATTGTATTAGATTTCATTCCCTCCTTGATGGAAGATGTATTCGTTTTCTGTTCTAGCTGGCATTGAGAACTTTTATTTTATACTAGAACATTAGTCAAAATAATAATACAGATCTAATGAATCTTTTTATAATGGACATACAGGTGTTGCACCTAGTACAAACCCAGATGATCATAGACAATATAATCAAGGAAAAGCAGATTCCCATGAAGATCGCAACTCAATTAAGCAATCTCTAATATCATCATACAAGAAAACCCTTCACCATCTTATCAAAGACGACATCCATAGAAATATCCATGACGCAACTCGTGCTCATAGAGGACCACAATCTTCGAGATGTAAGTTCAAATCAACATCTTTCTTTTCAACTGTCATTTAATTAATTAATGCACATCCCATTCCCATAGGCAATAGTTGTGATCTTCATAAATATCTCATGCAGTAGAAAATGATTTTGGTGAAAAGTTAAAATGTATAAGTGGTTTGCAATCGCAGGTTGTGACAACAGATGGACCACAAGTTGGTGGACACAATTTAAAGTTTTGTTCAAAAGAGGTCTTAGAGAGAGGAAGCACGAATCGTACTCTGGTTTACGAATCTTCCCAAGTGATGTCTGTCTCAATCTTATCGGGTCTTTTATGGTGGCACTCCGATACATCACACTTGCAAGATCAGGTACCACGATTGTCCTTCGTTATTTTCTGCCGCTCACTACATCTCCTAACTTATTATGCTATGTTTTAAAAATATTGTTGTACCAAATCATCATTAAATAATAGCTTATATTTGTCATTAAATGCTTACTAATTGATGAACATATGATATATATGCAGGTGGGACTTCTCTTCTTCTTTTCAATATTTTGGGGCTTTTACCCTCTATCCAATGCCATATTTACGTTCCCTCAAGAGCGACCAATGCTAATAAGAGAACGCTCTTCTTCAATGTATCGCCTCTCCTCATATTACTTTGCTAGAATGGCAGGCGACTTGCCAATGGAACTTGTTCTACCAACCATCTTTGTAACCATTTCATATTGGATGGGTGGTCTTAAGCCTTCACTCATCACATTCGTGCTAACAGTTCTAATCATTCTTTTCAATGTGCTCGTTTCACAAGGACTTGGACTAGCCCTGGGAGCCATACTTATGGACCTAAAACAAGCAACCACCTTGTCATCCGTGATCATGCTTGTGTTTTTACTAGCAGGTGGTTATTATATTCAACAAATTCCACCATTCATCAGTTGGTTGAAATACATCTCGTTTAGCCATTATTGTTATAAACTTCTAGTGGAAGTACAGTATAGCGAAAATGAGGTTTATGAGTGTGGAATGGGCACTCACTGTAGGGTATTAGATTTTCCGGGTATCAAATATCTTGGTATGGGTCACTTGTGGTGGGATGTCGCTGCTTTGGGTGTAATGTTGGTGGGGTACAGGATTGTGGCTTATGTAGCATTGAGGATGAGTAAATCTCACTAAATGACCTTGAATTCTACCTCTTCATGTGTCAAATAAATCCGCAAAGTAACTAAGAGAAAAGCATTATAAATTTAGAGGGATTTATGCAAAAGTTAGAAATAGTTGACTTACTTATAATTGTATATTGCTACTAATTGCATTTGTACCAATTTTATATTTGGTTCATTAATATCATTATTCTCATTTTGGATCGCCTTTATTAATAATTGTGGACTACTATGTTACCGAAAACGAACATGAAGGTATGATAAACGAAAGAAAACAAGAATTTGCATGGTGCATTCAAAACCGTGGGATCACGCCCTTGAATTCCCGTTGTCACCTGCATGGCGGTTAGGTCCTTCCACTAGTCATAAGACTCAAGAATCAACAATCTCCTAATTTGGAGACTGATCAACAAATAAATTAGTCTACCAACAAATAAATTAGTCTACCAAGACATGAAGCTCTAGTAAACCTAAAACATTTAGGAGTTGATTGGTTTTCTTAGGCAAAATGGTTGCAATCTACGGACCACATCTGCAGACATCTGTAGTAAAGAGGTGGACCAAATATTTGTAGTCTGAAAGAAGAACTGTTTGTTTTTTAACGTCTACAAATTGTTAAAATAAACTAAAATCTAAATAAACAGATTTTTTTTAAACTTAAAAGAAATTTTCAATACTTAACAAATTTGGATAAAAATTTATGTACTGTTATATAAAAAGTGAAAATAAAATAGTACGAATTAACATGTATATTTGATAAAAACCAACAAGCTTTGGTCGCAAAGTGTAACATCCTAAATTTAAGACTAGGTTCTTAAATTAATTAAGTAATTAAATAAAGCATGATTTACATAATTAAATCATTAAGGAATGATCATATTGTTATTTGATATGAAGATTAGAATGAAAAAAGTTTAAATAATAACATTGCAAAGTTAAGGGAGCAAAAGTGTCGATTTGGTAAACTGTTTATCCAAATGGTTAACTCATTTAATGGGAAATGGACTAGAAAATCTATTAAATGGACGGGGAAGGACTTATTATGTAAACCCTTAAGGTAAGTTAAAATAGAAAATATTGGGATTTGGGTAGTTTTGGTCAAAAGGTGCAAACAAGGGACTAAATATGTATAATCATGATTATAGGGTGCAACCCTTTTGCCTATTTCGTCCATTTCAGGATGGAGCGAGTTTGAGGCCAAGAAGATGTCGATTTTAGAAAGGATTTCATGTTGGAGTGAAGATCTATCAAGAAATAAAGTTACAACAAATGATTGAGATCATTTAAGGTAGAATCTCTTCTCCTCTAGCTCTCAAATTCGAATTCATGACTTGGGGAAACCCCAATGTCGATTTTCGCTTGTTATGATAGTTAGGGTTTGGTTTTCTAACCTCCCTTGAGTAGTTTTAATGATCCCAATCTCAATCCAATCATCTCATTGATGGATTTGAGGATTTGGGTGAAAACCCTCATGAACCCTAGAAAACCCAAATTGGGGACATTTGAAATTGGATGTACCACCCATTTTCTAGTTATTTCTAATTCAGGATCGTGGCCCGAATGTCGATTACGTAAAGGCTTTGGGCCTTAAGGAAGTATAGTCTAGATCTGTTAGGAGGTAATAATGATATGTGTTAGATCTAACCCCTTGAATTGTACATTCGGTCGGGGGTGGAAAGGGAAAAGTCATAGTTTCAGTATAATACACGAATCGAATACATAACATACATGCAAACTATAATAGGTATAGTTTGGGATTCCATACATGGTTTTATCGATTCTAGAGTTTATACATTAACAAACATATAAACTATAAAGGTATAGTCTACAGAACAATTACATTATCAAATCACGAAACATAGATAAAATGTGAATAAACATGTAAAACCATATAGTTATAGTTATGGATTAGACAAACAGTTATTCAAATTCAAATGATTCATTTTATTCTACACTTAATCGTTAGTATAACATTTTATGAGTGAGCATCTTCGCGTACTTACCTAACTACTAACAAAAGTCCTGAGATTATAACCAGAGTCTCCTGGAGGGAGAACGTGAGTTTGTGTATAGATCTATACGGGACCGACAATCCCGCGCCGCAACTGTTAGCTACAGTTAGGCCGGCAGGCCTGGGTGACAAAGTCATTTCGATTCCGACGCCTGAAGAACGTCGTTCAGGAAAATTCAATGGTCAAGTATGGTTATAACAACTCATAAATTCGGTACTAAATAATACGATTAATGTATGAATGGTAAACAACTTCAATTAGCTTTATTTAAATTAATAGAACTACTATACATACTGGTCGTAGCCAGAGTTTTTCATACATAACACATTATACATTACTGGTGATAGCCAGGGATTTCATACCGTAGTTTTCATAACCAAACAATACTATACAATTCCACTGGTGGTATCCAGACCTATAAACTAACACTTTCATATACCACTACAAGAACACAGTATCGAACACACACATCGGTCTTATTGAAAACGTTAAAAGTAGTAAAAAGTGTAGGGGTATGAACTCACCAGCTTTAATGTTGATACTCTTTCAAAACCGCTTGTATTCTCAGGGAATCAGTAGACAGGTACTCCTGCAGACTTTTGAGAAGACAGAGCTTTTAGTATCTCGTCTTTTATACTTTTGTTATACTTTTGATGTCATACAAACTATGTATCGAACAGATGTAAATACTTTTATATATATTCAATGTAATGGTTGTGTTTGCTTTGATTACTATGATGCAATTGTTGTGATACTGTACATGACGTCCTCCACCCCCGAACGTTTCTGCCGTTCCGGTTTGGAGGTGTGACACATAGACCGGGTTTCTTGTATGAATTATGAATTTTAGTTCGAGGCGTTTTTTGTCCAAAATGACCAGATAAGATTATGGGGCTTTTCAATACCTTTCTGTGTATATAAAGAATGCCAAAATCGAAGTTAAATCGAAGAAGTTGTGGTGGTTTGAAATTTTTGTTTAATTTGGAAGATTGGTAGTACGATGAGCATACTCTAGGTTTGCTGGGCATACTAACATCTTGAAGTCGTGCCTCTAGAAGAGTACGTTGAGTGTACCATTTGGTACGTTAGGCGTACACGATTAGAACCCAAACCCCAAATCTAGGGTTTTGAGCCCTATTTAAGCACCTTAACTCCTCTAAACCTCTTCTATTCTCAACCTCCATCTTTCCAACGTCCTCCCTTGAAACTCTAACCCTAGTTTGAGCTTTGTGAGCCAAAGAGTGTGTTTTTGGGTGCCTTTGAAGGAAGAAGAAGGTGGTGATAGTGCTTGGAAGCTTGGAACAACTTTGGATCTGGAAGTTCTCCTCCCGCATTCATCTTTAGAAGGTATAAAGTTTGTACCTTTATGCCTCCATTGATAGATCTAGCTTAGGGGTTAAAGTTATGTCCTTTTTGTCCAAAAAATTGGTCCCTTTGATTGTGGGTTGTCCCAGATCTTGTGAGGTGCATTTCCAGATGTATTTGAGGGTGTTAAGTCATAAAAAGCAATCTTGATCTTTTCCTTCCAGTCATGCATGGTTATAAAGCTTAGAATCTCATGATAAGTTAGGGTGTTGGATTTTGACTCTTTCTAGCCATGCAAAATTATAAAGTTGGAAACTTTATGATTTAGAATGTCTTTTGGGGATTAGATCTGAGTGTTGGAAGAAAGGCCTTAAGGGATTAAGCACAAGAAGAGCTTTTGGCTCGGATGTTCTGCCCCCGCAGAGCCCGGTCCCTAGCCAAACCCTCATATAAGTAAGTTATGCTTACCCTACTTCAAGTATAGCTTATGTTTAAGTTCAATATCGTTATTATGAACTTATAAAAAAATAAATATATTATAAAATATAATATACAAAGTGTTATGATAATATCTTAACTACTCGAGGTACGGGGAATCTGGTTTGAAGGGCCGCATAGGGTTGTTGGATTTCAGAAGTGCTATAATGCCAAAATGGTCCTGCCCTCTGTTGTTTCATGTCTGGCCTCTGTCTGTACATAGTGGTTAAAAAATATTTTTTAACACTTATAAAACAATATCGCTCATAAATATTCGCAATAAATATTAGACTAAAATCTAGCGGTAATGATACTAGGTTTCGTCGAAGGAAAATATAATTGTTAGAAGCGAAGCGCTACCCGAGTTTGGAATCATCACTTTGACAAGTGAGTGCATATTTACTTTCATCTTACACATAGATATGAAGTATTTAATATAAATTACGTGCTATGTGTGCATATTATCTTTGTTCTTGATATCTATGCTGGATGGACAAATATACATGTTTTATTTGATTTAAACTGTATATGTATTTTATACCTATAAAAGTATTGGGTAAAGATCGATCCATGAATGATGAGAGATGAAAGATGATATAGATGAACACTGGCAGGTATGGACTTAGTGCCTAATAGATAAACTTTGGCAGCTATGGATTTAGTGCCTTGTAATTGAACGTTTGCAGCTATAGATTTAGTACCCTATAGATAAACATTGGCAGCTATGGACTTAGTGCCTAATAGATAACACTGGCAGTTATGGACTTAGTGCCTATTAGATAAACCCTATCAGCTATGGATTTAGTGCCTTTACAAATGAACCTTGGCAGCTATGGACTTACTGCCTTACAAATGAACCTTGGTAGCTATGGACTTAGTGCCTCGTAAATGAGCATCGACAACTATGGACTTAGTGCCTAACATATAACATCGGCAACTATGGACTTAGTGCATGTTATATAAACCTTGGCAGCGATGGACTTCGTGTCTATTCCTTAGGACAATCCTTAGGAATAAATATTGAGGAATAGATGATTCTTAGGGAAGATACTTAAGAATAAAGAAGATAATGGGGATGGGTAATCAGGCTAACTGTTTGATGATTAAACCTAATAATTATATTATTGTGGGTTGAAAACACTATGTACTCATCAGGTTTCCCAACCTGACCCTCTCAGTTTATTTGTATCACAGGTGTCGATACGAAGCCACATTACAC